TCCCCATCCCTGCCGTAACTCGGCCTGGAGCCAACCCCTTTCTGCAGAAGAACTTGTTCTGGGACTGTCCACCTGAGAGCAGCCGGGTGGCACAGTGGGGAGCTGAGAGCAGCTAAGGCTGGTAGGGCCATGTTTGGGCTTGCCCACAATTGGCATGGGGTCTTCACCAAGCCCCCATGGGTAGTGATGCCAGGGATGAGTGGGTGGTGATGCTGGTGACAACTGGCTGCAGACTGTATGACTGCTACAGGCTGAGGTGTGTCCATCTCCACCAGCACAGGCCTGGGGCTGGGTACCTCCATCCACCACAATAGGGTCTGTCCATGCTGTAGCCATTCATCTGCCTAGGGGCTCTTCCTGCCATTAGCTCAGCCCTGCATGTGCCACAAGCATGCTGTCACTTTGCTTCTCCTTGGGAGGGGGGGCAAAAACAGTCCGTGAAGTCCAAAGGGTCATTGGGCTAATGTCCAAAGAGCAATTTCAGGGGTATGGTTTCTAAGGCAAAGGACTTTGGCCCAGCATGTGGCCACAGCATCCTGAGCAGGATGGGCAGCCCCAGTGAGTATGGCTGGTGGCAGCTCTCCCACGGAGGAGTGTTGCCTCATTCCCAGTCATCCACTCGGCCAAGGCGGGCAGAGAGCAGCTGGGAGCAGGTCGTGGCCTCAGCAAGTAGTAGTCAGTGCTGCTTCCCAGGGGATATCAGTGTGGCCTCGGCAGTCCCTGGCTAGCCTAGGCCTATTGCTATGTGCCCCCCGAGGTGTGTCAGGTGCCTGCCTGGTACTGGGAGCTGGCCTGCAGGCCCACCCACCACTTGTGAAAGCTCCTCTTTTGTGAACTTTATCTAGAATCCTTGCGTCTACTTGCTGGGACCCTTTTTTGCTGTACCCACATGGTCCCAGCATAGGCCATATGCACTCTGCACACAGCCCGGGGTGCTTAACAAGGGGCTCTGGCCCGTGGGGCATGAGGCTGGCCTCACTCACGAGCCTCCAATACCACCTATTTACCTCGGGCCTTGGCCCTCCAGAGGCTGTCACTCGCCTCCCCACACCCCACCCCGCCACGTGCATGCTCATCCCACACGTTTCCTCTTGGGCGCTCTGGGTCCCAACCCCCCAGGTGAGGCCTGTGCCCATGAAGCACTTCCCCTAAATTCCTTTCCTGGGGCCCCAGCCTGTGTCCCCCTGCCAGGCAGCCCCTTTTAAGGGCTGGACAGGCACCAGCACAGCCTGAGTGAACTCAGAATCAGGGAGGGGCCCCCACCAAAATGATGTGAGGGGAAGGAGAGGTCACAGGTTGGTGGCTGAGCAGCGATGCCAGTGTGTTGACCAGGGGTCAGGGTATGGTAAGCACAGAGGCTGAGGCTCTCAGGTTCTGCCCTCCCCTGCTCCAAAGGGAGGGCCTTGAGAGATCTGGAGCTTCCTGCTGCCCCTCCTGCCTGGTGTCAGGCCAGATGAGGTCACCCAGAGCCCCCACACACCTAAGGCAGTGCCCTGCTGGCCAGAGTGTACCCTCTGCTGAAATCCCATTGCTGGGCAGGCCCCTTCCAAGCTCCTTGCTGTCCTACAGGGCTGTAACTGAGGGACGGGCCACAGCCTCTGGTGGCTGACCTCATGCTAAGCTGCACGTCCACCCAGGCATGAGGGTCCTGAGAAAGTGCTCTGAGCCAAGGCCAAGGTGGAGCCAGACCTTCCTCACCACATCCCTTGTTGGGACTGCACTGAAGGCTCAGTTTCATCCTGACCATGAAGGGGGAGTTGGCTGCCTCAGGGAGGTGTTAGGCTGAGGGGGTGAGGCCCTGTGGAAGCAGGAGAGGACTCCGCAGAGCCCAGGGCCCCAGGTTAGACCCACATCCTAAGCTACCTTCACGGGCCTCCCCAACCCCAGAGCAGCCCTTCTCCATGCCCTTGGACACTAGGCAGCATTTGCTCAGGGCCACCCTCCTGACTGCAAAACAGCCACCACAAGGCTGAGATGGGCATCAGTGCCACACCTCCACCAAAGTTCTTCTAGGTCAAAGGACTATGCAGCTGCCCCAGGAGATGGGCCTGTCTCCCTGCATCTCGCCCCCGTGGCCTTCAGCTCAGCCTAGGCAATCCTGCCCTCAGCACAGATTAGACCCTCGGAGAAGGCTAAGCCTGGGTGGGCCAGGGCTGCTGTTCTGTGGTTGGTAGTTACGAGGCCTTAGAGATTTCTGGAACTTTCCAGAAGTGGTGTGCTGGGCCAGAGCAGACCAAGCAGTGGGCAGAAGGTGGGGTGCAGGGCCGAGGAGGCTCGTCTCTGGCGCTGTACTCAACAAGTTGTATGTCCACATAATTTCCCTGGAGGCCTGATGAGAGCCCAGTGCAGAGAGAAACCCTAGGCTGAGCTCTGCAAAACAGGTCAGGTGAGAAGGCGGGCAGAGTGGTGGAGGCCAGGAGTGTTTCCAGAAACCAGCTGCTGGCCTCATAGCAGATTAACATCAGACAGGAGATGACTCCAGGGTCACAGAGAGTCACGCCTGGGGCAGATGGGCTTGACACACCCTGCTGCATGCCCCAGAGTCCCAGGAGCACAGCCAGTTCCCAGCCACTTTCCCCCAGGGAGGGTACTGCAGGGAGAGCTTGCAGTGGAACCTGAGCCCACAAAGCAGGCATCTGTCTTGGGGCAGCCGCAGCAGCTCAGAAGCCCCACCTGGGACAGCCAGGGTGGGTCTGCACTCCCTGCCCAGGGGACCGTTACAACGCCCTCTGACCCAGTTCTTGGTACTGGTCAGGGGACATGCTGCCTAGTGTCTGGCATGACTGGTGACCGATTGTTGGCCTGTCACCACGACCCCCCACTCTGGTTTTTACGCCCACCAGTGAGCCCCTCCAGGCAACACAGAGTCTCTTGCTCTCAGCACCAGCCTCTGTGGCCTCCCAAGCAGAGGGTCTTGGGGCCTGTGCTGCCCTCTTCCCTAAATTTCACTTCCTCCAAAAATCCTCCCAGATGTTTCTCACAGGATTAACTCAGAGGGAGCCCACAGAGTCCCTGAGACTAGTCCCTTGTGTTATCGGGAGGGACAGCCAAGGCCCCTGAGTTTGAAGAGCCCCTCCAGGGTGCAGCCTGAAGCCTTTCTGTGGGCTGCTCCCCTGATCCAAGTTGGCTGTGCCTTCCAGAAGGGAACTGAGTGAGCAGGGGAGAGGCTGGTTGAGAGAGAGGAGTGGGGGAGTCCTGTGTGAAGGAGGAATTCTCTAGGGCTGGTGTTCCCCAGGACCAGGGAGCCTGGGTAGGAGCCAGCAGGTGTGTCCCATGGCCACTAGTGAGGAAGGTGGGGCCCAGGTGGGAAGGGGGTCCTGGTGAAGGGAGGGCTGCCTCTAGAGCCCACCTGTGCACCACCCAGAGGAACAGTGTGTCACCACATGCAGACCCTGTTCCAGTGCCCCAGGCATTGCCATCCCCTTAGGCAGGCCCCAGCTGGGGGCTGCAGCTGGCTGCCCACTCCAGCCAGCCTGTCCGGGCACTCAGCTTCCTGCTGTCCCTTGGCCCTCACCCTACCCCCTTCCCATCAGCACTAGCCATGGGTGGGTCTGAAGCTTGGTGGGTGCTAGGTGTGCAGAATACCTGTCACCCCCAGGTGTACCTTCTGTGTGCAGTGGGGGTCAGGCCCCTCACCACACCAGGGTCAGAAACCTCCAGGGAGAGGCAGTTCTGAGCTCACATCTTACTATGAACCTTTAATTGTGTTTTGTTGTTGTACAAAAGAAATACAGAGCAGTGCCCGTGGCTCAGTAAGTAGGGCCCTGGCCCCATATACCAAGAGTGGTGGGTTCGAACCCGGCCCCAGCCAAACTGCAGCAAAAAATAGCCAGCGTGGAGTGGCACCTGTGGCTCAAAGGAGTAGGGCGCTGACCCCATATGCCGGAGGTGGTGGGTTCAAACCCAGGCCCGGTCAAAAACTGCAAAAAAAAAAAAAAAAAAAACACAATATAAGCTCCATGGCCAACTACCTCCCTACGCTGATCACCTTCTCAAGCTGACCTCATTTCTACAGACAGGTACCACATGATGTACACATCAGGACAGCAGGCCTCATTCCTATGGTCACCACCTCTGTATGTTGACCAGCTTGTTACAGTCCCATTGGTAGTCACCTTACAGAGATTCCACTGCACATTCTTTTTTTTTTTTTTTTTTTTTTTTGAGACAGAGCCTCAAGCTGTCCCCCTGAGTAGAGTGCCGTGGCATTATAGCTCACAGCAACCTCCAACTCCTGGGCTCAAGCGAGTCTCCTGCCTCCGCCTCCCAAGTAGCTGGGACCACAGGCGCCCGCCACAACGCCCGGCTATTTTTTTTGGTGGCAGCCATCATTGTTGTTTTGGCGGGTCTGGGCCGGGGATTCGAACCCGCTACCTTAGGTGTATGTGGCTGGCGCCTTAGCCGGTTGAGCTATAGGCCCCGAGCCCCACTGCACATTCTTAATTCAAAATACTTGGAAAATAGAGAAAAGCTGGCAGGATACAGAAGGTCTCCTACAGTGCCGCTGTGCAAGGATGTTCAAGCCCTCCACTTCAGGAGGACTGCCCTGGGGTCTTGGCCCAGGCGTGTGGCACAGTAGCTGCTGAGTGGCCAGAGGTGCCTGGAGAGCTACCCCTCTGCAGCCCCTTGCCAGCCATGCCCATCAGGGAGCCACAGGTCTCAGATGTCATGAGGTGGGGCTAACATCAACCATTAACCCCAGCACCCCACACCCTCAGGAACCCATTATGACACGGTTAGGACAGGCCTGTTTTCAGAGCCAAATGTCCACATAGGTCCAGGCCCTGCCAATCACCCATCAAGCACTGATTGAGCGCATGTCCACCCAGACCTGTGCCTGCACCTCAAGCCAGGTCCCTGAGATGCAGCTGCTGCCTCTGGCTTAGGCCTCCCATCGACAGAAGGAGGATGAGGCCAGAGGCTGGCCTGGCCTCACCCCTGCTGTGCAGCCCCCACTCCGCAGGCTTGACAGATCCATGTCTTGTCTCTCCACCTGGCAGGGCTCCCAGTGCCTCCAGCGGCCCCAACTCTTGCTGAGGGGCAGTCCGACGTCGCCATCCAAGGGATGAAGGTATCAGCCCAGACAAAGGCCAAGCCCACCAGAACTCCCAAACATCAGCCTGCAGAAGCTAGAGGCAGCCGGCGGCCCCCGAAGATCCGCAACTACAACCTGAAGGACTGATGTACTCAGCTCCGCATGGTGCAGGGCTGTGTTTCACCCTTGTGTTGTGTGTGTGTGCACACAGCATGCAGGACCAGGAAGGGCAGAGAGGCATTCAGGTGCTGCTGAGATGACCTTCCTGCCAAAGGCCTCACTGACCAGCCATTGAAGCCCAGGTACCCCCCTCACCATCTGCCTGGCTGGCGCTGTTGTTTACCTGTCCTACTTGGGAAATGTGGTGTCAAGTGTTTGTGCCAGAGCCGCGCCTGCCTGTGTCACCACCCACGGCCACCTGCACACTGGCAGTGTCGTGACAGTGCAGCCTTCCCCAGAGCGAGTTGAGGGGACACCCACCTGCACAGCAAGCTTTTCTCAAGAACACTATGTGAGGGTCCTCCAGGAGTGAAAGCCTTGTCCCGAGTGAGCCTAGACAAAGCGGGCCCCAGGCCAGGGGGGCCTTTGCATCTTGTGTATGTCAGGATGCTGGCAGGGTGGGGGCCAACCCAGGACAGTGGGTCATAGCAGTGCCATCCAAATCCCTCCCCCAAGTAGGACAAGGGTAAAATGTCCCTGACACATGGGTACCCGGGGCTGGCACCTACAAGAATGAGAAATGTGTGAGCTGACTCCTGTCTGCTGGTTTCTCCAAGTAGCACAGAACACACCCACACTCCATGACTGAAAAGCATGCCAGGAGAATGGCCCCGTGTCCCCTACACTTGTACAGGTGTGCTCTATAGTTGACACGATGGTCACCACCATGCTGTCTTGGGGCCCATGTCCTATCTACACTTCCAGAGCCCCACCTCCCTTTTGCTGGTGCCTGGACCTGGCCATGCCCTTCCTGCAGCAGAGGACAGGGACAGAATGGCCTCAGCTTGCCTGTGCCCTCAGGCAGCCTTTTCCTCTCTGAACCGGGCAGACAGCTTCTCTGGGAGGACCATGGGGGGAGGGCTGCTCCCACCCCTAACCTGCTGTGTGACATTGGCAAATCGTGTACCTTTGCAGCTTCCGTTAGTCCCCAGGTAAGATATGGACAGTGATATCTGCTTCCTGGCTCACAGGTGTGCAGGGCAGGCAAATGTCACAAGGAGAGATGGCACAACAGTGGTGGCCACTGGCAGTGTCCATCGCAGAGCTAGGAGACAGTCGTTTTCAGGTTGCTCTTTGGGCCCCTATATGTTTATTGGTGCCTTTCTGCATTTGTTCCACATAAATACACAAATGGGAATGGGGTTGCCCCCCTGGAAAGGAGGCAGTGCTGTGACTTCCTTTAGTTAAAAGTAGAGCTGCTTGTCACTTTCTGGAAAAGCATTTGAAAGCATGTGGACAAGTCCCTCCTCCCTGGTGCAGGCCCCAGGGCCTTGCTCCATTTAGCAAGTCAATCTTAAGATCAAAAGGTTCATCACCTGAGCAAAGCCCTACTGACCACTGACCAGCAGCACTTGCCAGGGAGAAACGGGTCTGGGGTATTCCAAGGCACCCAGGGGGGTTGTTTCCACAGCACAGTCCTGCTTCTGGCCAGCTGGGACACTAGCCATCTGAAAGCTCTATGTCTCCTGGCTCACTGTATGACCCCACCCTGAGATCTGAAGGGAAAAAGAAGCCCCTCAAAGGAAGAACCTGCAAGCCTTTGGGAGCAGGGAGCAGTAGCCCCCAGGGCATGTGGCCCATGGCCTTGTACGGGACTGTAGCTGGCTATCCTGCTGTCCTCCAGTGTGGCCCGGCCAGTGTTGTACCCCACAGTTCCCTGAGCCCCTGAAAGGAAGGAGAGGGTGAGAGGTGCATGGGCCCCCCACACACATGGGGGAGCATAGGACCACTGCACCAAGAGCATGGGTTATTTCTGGGCCCTCCTCAAGGTGGCTTTGGCCCTGCAGGCGCTGAGAGGGCAGGAGCCATACAGAGCTTCTGCCTGTGTGTGCCCACGGGTGCGCGTGGAAAACTCTCGGTCTCTGCCCGGGGGGAATCACACTAGGTAGGCGTCTGGGCAGACCCCGCTGGGCCCCGGGGGTGCCCACCCGTCTGGGCCGACCCTATCCCTGACTCCAGGGCGGCTGTCAAGTAGGGGCGCGGGGCGGTGGGGTCCACTAGGGCCCCGCGCAGCCCCGCGCAACCGGGCCGCCCGGCCAGGAAGACCGGTGACCGGCAGTAACCCCGCGCAGAGCGCCCTAGGCCGGGGTCAACGACCGCGCTGGCGCCGCGGCCCATCACCCTATCGCCTAGCAACGCCCACCCGCGCGCCGCCATTGGGCCGGTGCGAACGCCCCCGGAACCCCATTGGCCGCCACTACGAGAGCCACACCCCCAGGTCTGCGCGGGCTGCGACGGCTGCGTGGAGGGGACCGCTCGGGTTGTGGGGACCCTGCCAGCCTGCCAGCGAAGTAGGGGCCACGTCCGCCCTCCTGCCTCGCTCGCCTCCCGGCGCGGCCGCAGTGCAGTCCTTAGAGTAGCCCAAGCACGCCTTGTCCCGCCGCCCGCGCGGCGGACACGTGGCCCGGCGGGCAGGGGCGGGGAACGGAAGTTGGGGGCGGGGGATGCCTTCGCGCACCGCCCCGCGCCCCCTGCCTGTCCCCCGCGTGCGCGTCCCCGCGCAGGGTCCCGGCTCTGCAGCAGCGCGCACGGGCATCACCCCACGGCGGCGGCGCGCCGGGTCCCGGGGCGCAGCCCCGACGCTCATTGGCCTGGGCGGCGCAGCCAAGCTGTCAGCCCATGTGGCGTGGCCGCCCGGGGATGGCCGCAGTTTAAATAGCGTCGGCACCGGCCTAGAGGGAGCCAGAGAGACGGCCCGGACCCGGCCTCGCTCCTCCGCGCGCCAGCCTCGCTCTCGCCGCCAACACCGCCCGCACCCAGACCAGGTACGCGGCGGCCCTCGGGGCTGGGCTGGGGGCCCGGGAAGCTGGGCCGGGGCGCGCGGGCCTCGCGGAGGCGGTGCGGCCTCGCATCCTTCGGCCTCGAGGGGCGCGTGGCCCGGCGTGGCCGTAGCCAAGGGTCCCTCGTGCGGCCTGGCCCAGGCTCGGTATGCGAGCCCCTTCGGGACGCCACGGGCCTGGCGGGGCAGGTAGGCAGACGGCGAGGGCTGGGCACCGGGGAGCGTCGCGGACAGCCATTTTCGTCCCCTGGGCTGGCTGAGCGCTGCGGACCCCGAGGGCCTGGAGCTAGCCGCAGCCTGACTCCCGGTACCCACAAAGGCCCCCGGGACCCTCCTCCCCGGGGCTCCTTCGAGGTCCCAGCCCAACGGAGACCTGAGAGGAGGCAGCAGCCGGCGGAGGGGACCGGTCTCCCAGTCAGAATTGCCGGGGCGCCGCAGGGGTTTCCACCCCCTGCCTCACCGCAGATTGCGGGTGAATGGCAAATACTAAGAGCCCAGCAGGCGCGCCCTGGAGCCTTCCTTCGCCTGAGGGGGCTAAGAGCTCTTTATTCATGGAGGGAAGCGGCCACCCCACAAGGGAGGTCGCTGCTGGCCGCTCACTGAGCTGGAAGTTCCGGGGCCTCCGTGGAAGTTACTAGATCAGCCTTGGCCTCACCCATCTTCCTCATGGCTGGACAGGAGACCTGGTGTTGGGCCTGCAGCCAGGGGGCCCTGAACTCCCCTGCAGGTTTCTTAGAGACCTGGGCCCCAGGCATCTGCTGCCCTCTGGGTACAAGAGGCCAGCAAGTGTCCTGAGGCCTCATGTGCACAGGTGTTTGGAATAGGGTAGCACTTGCTCAGGAGTGCTTCCCCAGCTAGACCTTGCTGGAAGGGTCAGGCTGGCTGGATCAGTCCCCGTGGAGGAGGGGCTACCTTTCCCCAGAGCCCTGCTAGCTTTGGCATCAGAGGTCCCCATGGGTCCTTCCTGAGGCCTGGCAGCTCCTGGGCTATCCTGAGCAGCAGGGTCCCTATCCTTAATGTGGGGAGGGGGGCATGGCCTAGGGTGCATGGTGCTGAGTGCCCTTACACCCTGCTTTGGGCCCCAGCTTAGCCTTTGCATTTCCTTGGTGCCTCTTAACAGTCTGAGTGCCAGGGGCCTCATCTTCCATCCCCAGAAAGACCCTGCCTGCCTGTCCCCTGCTGGGTGCCCACAACCCCAAGAGCATTGGTGAGAGGAGGTTGCAGGGCAGAAGCTATGCTGAGTTGCAGAGGTGGCTGGCCACTGGGCATTTGGGACAGCAGGGCCACAGTGGGGCCACCCAGGCCAGCACCCTGCACATGGTAGGGTCAGAGCCCCAGAGGTGACAGGCCAGTGCCAAGGTGAAGCATACTCAGCCATTCCCAGCGGGAGGGAAGGAGGGAGGGCTGGGCCAGAGTGACCCCCCATACTCTGGAGTGTTGGCAGGAGCAGGACCCAAGACTTGCATCTTGGAGGTTTCTCCAGGGACTTTTTGAGGCCCTTCTCAGGCAGGACAGTGGGGAGGGAGAAGAGGATGCAGCCCAAGCAGAGCCTGTGCTGGGCCCCATGGGGAGGTGAGGGCAATTCTTGCTAGTGAAGCTTGAGCAGCCACCATTTGTGGTGCTGAGACTGTAGGATGGGGCTGCTGAGACTGCTGGGGCTGGGGCTGAGCCTGTGTGGGCGGCACACTGCCCTCCCGCAGAGGAGCCATGGAGGAGGTGGTGATCGCTGGTATGTCCGGGAAGTTGCCAGAGTCAGAGAACATGGAGGAATTTTGGGCCAACCTCATTGGCGGCATGGACATGGTCACAGATGATGACCGAAGGTGGAAAGCTGGTGAGTGTGACCTTGGGGGCTTCCCTTGTTGGAGGTAGGAGTTCAAGCTCCACCTTTGCCCTTCAGGCAACTTCTCGCTGTGCTGTCTTCCAACTGCCCACAGCATTGGTGCTGGCCTGGGCCCAGTTGCAGCTACAGACACTGGTCACCCACAGGGCAAGTCTGGGCTGCAGCCACTTCCCAACATGGCACAAGGATGGCCCAGGGAGTGAGCTCGGCTTGCCAAGAGGCTCTCCAGGTGGCTGCAAGGCTAAAGGCCAGGGAGGCCAGGCTCAGATCATGGGTGTCTTGAGCCGGCAGATGGGATACCAGGTACTCTTGGGGAGGCTGGTTTGACTCCCCCACGCCCAGTTTGATGTTCTCTGAGCAGCTCTACCTGCCAGACAGGGTGTGAGTCAGCATGGTGCAGCCTGGGCACTGTGACCAGGCCAGCCACAGGCCCCCCAGCCGCACCTCCCCAGGCTCTGTTCTGGGCCCTTCCCATGTGAGGCTGGGGTCCCACATGGCAGACCTGATAGCACTGGCCCCTCCCAGGAGAGCTGTCTGGGCCTCTTGGTGTAACTGAGGCTCCATGACTGCCATAGCCTTAACAAGGCCTATGGTATCCCTCAGGCGCCTCTGCCCTCCAATCCCTTGGTCAGTGAGAAAAATGCCTGCCATGTCCTACAGGTCTCTACGGCCTGCCCCGGCGGTCCGGTAAGCTCAAGGACCTGTCCAAGTTCGATGCCTCCTTCTTCGGGGTACACCCAAAGCAGGCACACACAATGGATCCCCAGCTGCGGCTGCTGCTGGAAGTCACCTACGAGGCCATTGTGGATGGAGGTGGGTCCTCAGGGCTGCTGGATGGGCAAGCTATCTCCCAGGGCCACATGCCTCTTTAAGGTAGAATGGACCTCAGCCCTGGTTTTTCCCAGCCATGTCCCCTGCCTGGCTTGGCCCTGGATCTGGGGCTAGTAGGCTTGGGAAGGCGTGGGCCTCTGGGCCTCTGGGCAGGCTACAGTTTCACAACTGCACACTGGAGGTGTCCCGGGCGTGCCTTGACACCCCAACTTCCTCACTCCCAATGTTGGGCTAGTCGTGGGGCAAGGGTGAGGATGACAGGCAGAGGAAGAGGTTCCAGAGGACCCCCCTCCCCCTTTCCATTGTCCTGCTCCCATGACCTCAGGCCTCCAGACAGCCTTCACTCCAGCTTCCCTTCCTCTGTTTTGGGGGACTGAAATGGGGGAGCATCTTACCAGCCTGGCGACTCCACTGTCTGACCTCAGGCAAGCACCAGGGGCCGCTGCGGGCAGGGGCTTGTCCCCCTCCCAGGCATACTTGGTGCTCAGGCAGGGAGAGTAACCCTCGGGGCTGCCTGCTATCCACCCCATCAGTGTATGCCACTGGCCCCTGGGATATAGACACCTGCCCACCCCAGGCGGGCTGGCAGGGAGTCCAGGCAGGCATTATATCCCTTGGGCCTTTCCTGCTCCTGGCCCTACCCGTAGACCTCTCTTTATTGAGCCGGACACTCGGTCTTTGTCTTCCTCCCTCCTTATCTTGGCTCCGCCCAGGGCAGGTGCCCTTGGAGCTGAAGCTCCCTGGCCCAGGGGCTCACAGACCCTGCTTGTGACACGAGAGGCCATAGGAGTCACCAAGGACAATGCTGCTGTCTGTCCTCCCCACGGCTGCCTCTGGCCTCTGTCTGGCGCCCTCTCCTGGGCCTCCTATCCTGACACTTCATTCCTCTAACCTGGTTCTCAGTCCTTGGCCCGACTTGGGCTGCTGTGGGCCATGGCTCTGCTTTGTCCCCTTAGCAGGACACCTGGCCTTCCCTGCCCCTTTTTGGAATTCCCCTGGGAGGAAGCCCCTCTCACTGTAAGCCGTGAGGCCCAAAAACCACCTCAGAGTGGGCCTGGAGGGCTGTCAGGCCTGACTGCATGTTCCTGGCAGGCATTAACCCAGCCTCACTCCGCGGGACACACACCGGTGTCTGGGTGGGCGTGAGTGGGTCCGAGGCCTCAGAGGCCCTGAGCCGAGACCCAGAGACGCTCCTAGGCTACAGCATGGTGGGCTGCCAGCGTGCCATGATGGCCAACCGGCTGTCCTTCTTCTTTGACTTCAAAGGTGGGTGCTGCCTGGGTCTGGACCTCCTACACATGGAGCAGGGACCATTTGTACTGGGGAGACCCTTGAGGGTCGAACCTTGCTGTGCCCAATGAGTGCTGGTGGCATGTGCTCTTGAGGGGATCCTCAGTCATGTACCTCCCCCCGCCCATGCTGCTTGGGTAGGCCCACAGCCCTGTTGTGCCCTTGCTTGCAGGGCCCAGCATTGCACTGGACACAGCTTGCTCCTCCAGCCTGCTGGCCTTGCAGAGCGCCTTCCAAGCCATCCGCAGCGGAGAGTGCCCTGCCGCCATCGTGGGCGGCATCAACTTGTTGCTGAAACCCAATACCTCTGTGCAGTTCATGAAGCTGGGCATGCTCAGCCCTGAGGGCGCCTGCAAGTCCTTTGATGGCGCAGGTGGGCATCCCTGCTGCCCCCAGGCAAGCCCTTGGGAGCCCTGCCTGGTTGTCCCAGCCCAACACCTTCCACCCAGGGCTCCAGCAGGAATCTGGATGGGCTAAACCATAGCAAGGTGCTGCTTTCCCCCAGGGAATGGGTACTGCCGCTCAGAGGCTGTGGTGGCCGTCCTGCTGACTAAGAAGTCCCTGGCCCGGCGGGTATATGCCACCATCCTGAATGCTGGCACCAACACAGACGGCTTCAAGGAACAAGGTGGGGTCTAGGCAGGGGTGGTGGGTGGCAGGTGGTGGCAGCAGTGGTAGGTGCTGAGCTCGGGCCATCCACAGGCGTGACCTTCCCCTCTGGGGAGGCCCAGGAGCAGCTCATCCGCTCCCTGTACCTGCCGGCTGGGCTGGCCCCCGAGTCCCTTGAGTACATTGAAGCCCATGGCACAGGCACCAAGGTAAAGGGCTCCTGAATGGTTCTGCCCTGCCCCTTGCCCCATGCCCTTGTCCTCTACCCTTTCCTACCTGGGAGATAGCCCAGCTGGAGTCTGACTCTCCCATGTTCCCCAAAGGTGGGTGACCCCCAGGAGCTGAACAGCATTGTCCGTGCCCTGTGTGCCTCCCGCAAGGACCCGCTGCTGATCGGGTCCACCAAATCCAACATGGGACACCCAGAACCTGCCTCAGGGCTCGCAGCCTTGGCCAAGGTAGGCAGAGGGGTCTCTGGAGGCTGCAGGCCCTTGCTCCTTCTCTGTGACTGTACACCATGGCTACCACAGAGCTTTCCCCATCCCCCCACCAGTGTGCTGTGCTAGGCCTGGCAAAACTTGGGCGGCCTCTTGCTGGACAGTCCCTATAGTTCTTGCATAGAGCCCAGCCAGAGAAGCAGCTTGGGTGGAAAGACAAGAGAGGGGAGGCTGGAGGAAGCTCAGCAGTTGCGCCCTGGCCAAAGGGTTGGAGCAGGTGTCACCTACCCATCCTCACAGCTTCCTGACCAACTCGCAGGCAACTAGAAGCCCTCAGGGCAGCCCCCAAGGGCAATGGACATGGTAGCCCGACAGCTAAGGACCCAGGACCCCATCACTGGGGCTTCTGGTCTCTTTGGATCCCCCTCTGTTGGGGGGGATCTCTGTCAGCTTGTGGCATCTCACCCTGGGCTGGGGCCTGGTTGTGGGGCCTTGGTGTTTAGTTTCACAGTCAATCTCTGGTGTCCCCATCAAGCTGGGAATGGGCAGGGCCCCAGGTGAGAGTACAGTGCCAGAGTCGGCCAGGCACCCCACCCACGGGGGCCAAGCTGAGGGCAGGGCAACCACGATTTGGTCATCAAACTCTGCTGTGGCAAGACCAGGCTAGAGGTCAGGAAATGCATCAGAGGGCGTGGGCATCCTGGACCCACATAGTGGTCCCCAAGAAGTGGCTGCCCACCACCACATGACCCACAGGTGCTGCTGTCCCTGGAGCATGGGATGTGGCCCCCCAACCTGCACTTCCATACCCCCAACCCGGAGATCCCCGCACTGCACAATGGGCAGCTGCAAGTGGTGGACCGGCCTCTGCCCGTTCGTGGCGGCAACGTGGGCATCAACTCCTTTGGCTTTGGCGGCTCCAACGTGCATGTCATCCTGCGGCCCAACACACAGCTGCCCCCTGCCCCGTCTGCTGCCTCACCCCGCCTGCTGCAGGCCAGCGGCCGCACTCCTGAGGCCGTACAGGGTCTGCTCGAGCTGGGCCAGCACCACAGCCAGGACCTGGCCTTTGTGTGCATGCTCAACGACATTGCCGCCACTCCTGCGGCCGCCATGCCCTTCAGGGGCTACGCTGTGATGGGCAGTGAGGGCAGCTGCCAGGAGGTGCAGCAAGTACCCGCTGGCGAGCGCCCGGTGTGGTTCATCTGCTCTGGTGAGACTGGCGTGCATCCCCTCCTGAGGGTGAGGTGGCAGCTGCAGCTGTCAGCCTCCTCCCTAACGTGCTCTTCTCACAGGGATGGGCACACAGTGGCGCGGGATGGGGCTGAGCCTCATGCACTTGGGCGGCTTCCGGGACTCCATCCTGCGCTCCGACGAGGTGGTGAAGCCACTGGGCCTGAAGGTGTCAGCACTGCTGCAGAGCACAGAGGATAGCACCTTCGACGACATCGTGCACTCCTTTGTGAGCCTCACCGCCATCCAGGTGGGTCCCGGCCACACGTGCCACATGTGGAGTGCTGGCCTACTGCTGGCCCAGGGCCTCTGCTGTTAGGTGCTTCTGGTTACATCTGGCTTGCACTATGGGGCAGTATGGGGTCGTGTGGGGCAGGGGTGTAGGTGACTAGAGTTCTGGCCGGCCTGACATAGCCCCTCCCTGCCCCCAGATTGCCCTCCTGGACCTGCTGAGCTTCATGGGGCTGAGGCCTGATGGTATCATTGGGCACTCCCTGGGCGAGGTGGCTTGTGGTTATGCCGACGGCTGCCTCTCCCAGGAGGAGGCTGTGCTTGCAGCCTACTGGAGGGGCCAGTGCATCAAGGAGGCCAATATCCCGCCAGGAGCCATGGCAGCCGTGGGTAGGCGTCAACCACCCCCACCCCCCGGCGCAACTGCCTCAGGACACTCTGCTCAGGTGCTACGTGCACAGGGCCTCTCGTTACTTCTTGGGAGCCAGCCCCGTCCCCACGTCCTTATTCCTGGAACGCTCGCTGGTGGATATCCCCCCATGCGAGATCCCAGGGGCTTGACTGAGGTGCAAGTATGTGGGGAGACTCTCCACAGCTCCCTCCAGAAGCACCATCTCTAGGCCCTGGGTGGGACAGGGCTAGAGAGGACTACAGAGGTAGTCTGTTCTGGGGCGAGGGCCTAGGCCATGTTACTGAGCTAAGAGCCAGCTCCCCACCGGGAGTACTTGCAGTAGCATCTCCCATCTATGACAACTCTCACGGTCAAACACAGTGGGGGCAGTGCCTTGAGGAGACTCAGCGGCTGTCATTACAGCACCCCATCATTACCACCTGATGCATGCCCTGGGCATCTTTGTGGTAAAGAAGGGCTTGGTGGGCAGGGCTTGAGGTCCCCACAGATGTTCTCTGAGGCTGGCTCCATCTCTAGGTTTGTCATGGGAAGAGTGTAAACAGCGCTGCCCCCCTGGCGTGGTGCCTGCCTGCCACAACTCTGAGGATACAGTGACCATCTCAGGACCACAGGTGGGCCCTGTGGCCTTGGCAGGCTCTTCTGTCCCCACACACATCACCACACGTCTGGTTTTCTTCCATACTCTCCAGCTTTTCCCAAGGCTCCACCCTGTGCCCTCCCCATTCCTCTGGAGTGAACTCCATCCACCCCCACCTGCTCCAAGACCATTGCTGGGTGGATGGCGTGGCAGTGGGTACATGGCCCAGGAGAGCTCACCCAGGGCCCCCTTGGTACCCAGGCTGCAGTATCTGAATTTGTGGAGCAGCTGAAGCAGGAGGGCGTGTTTGCCAAGGAGGTGCGGACGGGCGGCATGGCCTTCCACTCCTACTTCATGGAGGCCATCGCGCCCACACTGCTTCAGGCACTCAAGAAGGTGGGCAGGGCTGGCTGCTGAGGGTCCGGGTGCCGGCATGCCCTGGCCCCTGATGCTGACCCAGCCCATGTGTGTGTGCAGGTGATCCGAGAGCCACGGCCCCGTTCTGCACGCTGGCTCAGTACCTCCATCCCCGAGGCACAGTGGCGGGGCAGCCTGGCGCGCACTTCCTCTGCTGAGTACAATGTCAACAACCTGGTGAGCCCTGTGCTATTCCAGGAGGCTCTGCGGCATGTGCCCGAGCACGCGGTGGTGCTGGAGATCGCCCCCCATGCCCTGCTGCAGGTAGGGGCACTGGCTGCCAGCGGAGGGGAAAGCCCAGGGTGGAGCCACACACAGGGAGCCACAGCCACCTCTGCCTCCCCCAGGCTGTCCTGAAGCGAGGCCTCAAGCCCAGTTGCACCATCATCCCCCTAATGAAGAAGGACCACAGGGACAACCTGGAGCTCTTCCTCACTGGTGTGGGCAAGGTCCACCTTGCAGGGTGGGTCTCCCCATCTCGTACACACGCGGCCATTTCTCCCAGAAGCAGGAACAGTGGGTGGTGTGAATGGGGCTGGGAGCCTGTTGCTGGCCCAGGTCTGCAGCAGGGAGCTGGACTCAGAGCCTGTGTGTGTCCTTAGCCCTGGCCCCTACCTGCCTGCTAAGGTCCCATGGGACACTGGATATGCTGCTCACCCCTCCCCTCATCCTCTCCCACCAGCATCCATGTCAATCCCAATGCCTTGTTCCCACCTGTGGAGTTCCCAGCCCCCCGGGGAACACCCCTCATTGCCCCCCACATCAAGTGGGACCACAGCCAGACGTGGGATGTACCTGCCGCAGAGGACTTCCCCAACGGCTACGGCTCCTCTTCTGCCACTGTCCACAACATCGGTGAGCCAGGCCATGGGCAGCAGGTGAGGGGGACAAGGTCTATCCACCCAGGGGCCAGTGCTGAGGCTATATCCCTACAGATGCCAGCCCCGAGTCTCCTGACCACTACCTGGTGGACCACCGCATCGATGGCCGCGTCATCTTCCCTGCCACCGGCTACCTGTGTCTGGTCTGGAAAACGCTGGCTCGCACCCTGGGCCTGGCCACAGAGCAGATGCCTGTGGTGTTTGAGGATGTGACCTTGCACCAGGCCACTATCCTACCCAAGACTGGTGAGAGATGCCCCAGGCTGAGGGCAGGGTGGCTGGGGGAGGGGCTGCCAACCCCTGGTCCCTGATGCCGAACCCCCACTGCTGTACAGGGACCGTGCCCCTGGAGGTTCGGCTCCTGGAGGCTTCCCGAGCCTTCGAAGTATCTGAGAACGGCAACCTGATAGTGAGCGGTAAGCAGGGCATGGCTGGGGGTCTGCAGGAGAGTGGGGACACCTACGTCAGGCCGCACTGCACCAGGCTATCCCGCCTGGCTGCCCCTCTCAGGCCCTTGTCCTTCCACAGGAAAGGTGTCCCCGTGGGAGGACCCTGATCCCTCGCTTTTTAACCATCCGGAAGACCCTATCCCCGCTGACCCTGCAGCCTTCCGCCTGACACAGGCAGATGTGTACAAGGAGCTGCGTCTGCGAGGCTACGACTATGGCCCGCATTTCCAGGGCATCCTGGATGCCAACCTCGAAGGTGGGATGGGAGGCCCTGGGGCTGCACTGCTACCAAGCTGGTGAGAGGGGGTGTTGTGCATGTGGGTTTGGGGCGGTCCCAGTGGAGCCAACTAGGCCCCTCGTGCAGGCACCTCGGGCAAGCTGCTGTGGAGGGACAACTGGGTGACCTTCTTGGACACCATGCTGCAGATGTCCATCCTGGGCTCGGGTGAGCGCAGCCTGCGCCTGCCCACTCGCATCACCGCCATTCACATCGACCCCGCCACTCACCAGCAGAAGGTGTACACGCTACAGGGCGAGACCCGAGGTATGACGGCCCTGTGCCCCAGCCCTGTCACCACAGCCCAGCCCAGCCCAGCCTACCTTGTTCACCTGGCCTGTCTTTGCAGCAGCTGACGTGGTGGTGAGCCACTGTCTGAGCAGCACAGTGGCTGGAGGTGCTCGCATCTCGCGGCTCCATGCCTCAGCAGCCCCCCGACGGCAGCAGGAGCAGCTGGCACCCACCTTAGAGAAGTTCTGCTTCACGCCTCATGTGGAGGATGGATGCCTGTCTGCAAGCACCGTCCTGCAGGAGGAGCTGCAGTTATGCAAGGGTGAGGCCCCCACACAGCCCCCACCCTGTGGGATGTGCCTGGGGATGGGAGCTCATCACCTCCCAAGACCGCTGCCACTAGGGCTGCCCTGTCTCCTTCAAAGAGACTCCACCTGCCTCACCACGGGGCCCTCTCCAGCACCCTCTGCTTGACTCAACCCTGGCCATAGCTGGGGCAGCTGCTTCCCCCAACCTGTGGTCCTACTCGTCTGTGTCAACTCTCAGTCTCTAAAGGAGGTATGAGAACAGGAACCAGTCTTGGTCCCCCCTGGCAGGTGCAGAACAGTCTCCAGGGGTCATACCCAGGACCAATGTGTAGGACCCTGGGGTCGCATGTGAGGGGCAGAGACAGGCACTGGACCCCCCCTGTGGGCTCATGCCTTATGCCCACAGTGGCCAGTGGGCAGTGTCCCTGGGCTGGTCCTAGTGCCTGCCTCAGGCAGACTTTTGCCACCAGGAGCCTCAGGGAACACCAATTGTCTGTCCCTCCCCAGGGCTGGCACAGGCCCTGCAGAGCAAGGTGACCCAGCAAGGGCTGAAGATGTCAGTGCCTGGGCTGGGTGGGGCACAGGCCCCCCAGGACCCCCCACAGCAGGGCCTGCCTCGGCTACTATGGGCCGCTTGCCAGCCACAGCTGAACGGAAACCTACAGCTAGAGCTGGCCCAAGCTTTGGCCCAAGAACGGCCACTGCTACCTGAGGACCCCCTGCTGTGCGGCCTCCTGGACTCCCCAGCACTCAAGGCCTGTGTGGATACTGCTCTGGAGAACATGACCAGCCTCAGGATGATGGTGGTAGAGGTAGGTGCCACTGGGGCTGTGCCACGTTCTGGACCAGGGCTGGGTCAGACCCAGGCCCAAGTGTGTGACACACTTGCCAGGCTCCTATGGCTGTAGCTGCATTCTTCACACATCTGTCTTGCCCTGAACAACAGGGTGAAGCCACCCCTGTCAGGTGCAGGAGGCAGCACAGATGAGGGACTGGCCAGCTCAGTACCCAGGTCCTGTGCTGTCCATGCAGCAGCCTTAGGGCCCAGGGGTTGGAGGGGACACCACAGAGACCGTCAGCAGGCTGGGCCAGTTCTGATGGAATGCAACCCCACGGACACTCGGCCAGCCTCAGTCAACACTGCCAGGTCTGGGGCTACTCCCAGCTGTTCCCCTACCCCCAGGTGCTAGCCAGCCATGGTCGTCTATACTCCCGCATCCCAGCCTTGCTGAACACTCATCCGATGCTGCAGCTGAGCTACACGGCCACCGACCGCCATCCCCAGGCCCTGGAGACCGCACAAGCTGTCCTGCAGCAGCATGGCGTTGCCCAGGGCCAGTGGGACCCTACAGACCCTGCACCTGGCAGTCTGGGGGCTGCTGACCTCCTGGTGTGCAACACCGCGGTGGCAGCCCTTGGGGACCCAGCCGCAGCCCTCAACAATATGGCCGCCGCCCTCCGAGAGGGTGGCTTCTTGCTGCTACATGCCCTTCTTAGGGGCCACCTCCTCGGGGATACCGTGGCCTTCCTCACCTCCACCGAGCCACAGCTTAGGCAGGGCCTCTTGAGCCAGGTGTGTGCTGGGCAGGGGTGCGGGGTCCTCTGGGAAGGCTGAGACAGCTGGGCTCTGACCCCCAAACACACACAGGACGAGTGGGAAAGCCTGTTTTCGAAGGCGTCACTGCATGTGGTAGGCCTCAAGAAGTCCTTCTACGGCTCCGCTCTCTTCCTATGCCGCCGGCTCTCCCCACAAGACAGCCCCATCTTCTTGGCTGTGGAGGACACCAGTTTTCGATGGGTGGACTCTCTGAAGGTCGGTCCCTGCCAGGCCTCCCAGGCCCTGGGTCCCACTGACGTGGCTCGGGTCCGTGGTGCAGTCCAAGGCCCTCCTAGCAGCTAACCCTTCCCTGGCCCTGTAGAGCATTCTGGCTGATTCCTCCTCGCGGCCCGTGTGGCTGACAGCCACCAACTGCAGCACTTCAGGAGTGGTGGGCTTGGTGAACTGTCTCCGCAAGGAGCCTGGTGGGCACCGGATACGGTAGGTGCCCTCTCCTGCCCTTCCCTCACCCCCACACTCCACTTTTGCACTCTCTCACCGCCTCTGGCCATGCACAGGTGCATCCTGCTATCCAACCTCAGCAGCACATCCCCCACCCCCGAGATGTACCCAGGCTCTACAGAGCTGCAGAAGGTGCTGCAGGGGGACCTGGTGATGAATGTCCACCGCGATGGGGCCTGGGGGGCCTTCCGGCACTTCCCACTGGAGCAGGGTGAGCCCCCAACACCACCTTGCCCCACCCAGGCTCTTTGCATGGGGCTGGGTAGGCTGGGTAAGGGGTAGGAGACCCAAGCCAGGAAGGCCCTAGGGCAGCTCCCCCGCCTGCTTCCCCCAGACAAGCCAGAGGAGCAGACGGCGCACGCCTTCGTGAACGTCCTGACCCGCGGGGACCTCTCCTCCATCCGCTGGGTCTGCTCCCCACTGAGCCATGCCCCACCCACCAGCCCCAGCACCCAGCTCTGCACTGTCTACTACGCCTCACTCAACTTCCGAGACATCATGCTAGCCACGGGCAAGCTGTCCCCTGATGCCATCCCAGGTATAGGGCATGGGGCTTTGGAGCAGGACTGGGGCCATAGCAGCCTCGTAGTGGAGGCTGATGTCAGGACCTGCCAGAAGCCTGGAGGGCTTGCTCATTGCTGTTATTTGCAGGGAAGTGGGCCGCAAGGGACTGCATGCTGGGCATGGAGTTCTCAGGCCGGGATGCCAGTGGCAAGCGTGTGATGGGGCTGGTGCCAGCGGAGGGCCTGGCCACGTCCATCCAACTGTCACCGGACTTCCTCTGGGATGTACCCTCCAGCTGGTGAGTGCATCAGGCCAGGTAGGGTCTCGGGGAGCTGCAGCAACCAGGCCAAGCTGACCCTTTACCCTACCCCAGGACCCTGGAGGAGGCAGCTTCAGTGCCTGTCGTCTACACCACAGCCTACTACTCACTGGTGGTGCGTGGGCGCATGCGGCATGGGGAGACAGTGCTCATCCACTCGGGCTCAGGTGGTGTGGGCCAGGCCGCCATCGCCATTGCCCTCAGCCTGGGCTGCCGTGTCTTCACTACTGTGGGTGAGGTCTCACCCTAGCTCCCAGTACCTTCCACCCCCATCCCCACAGTGCCCCCAGCCCCCACAGTGGCCCTGGCCCCTCAGCACCACCTCTCCCCACCAGGGTCTGCAGAGAAGCGGGCGTACCTCCAGGCCAGGTTCCCCCAGCTCGACAGCAGCAGCTTTGCCAATTCCCGGGACACATCGTTTGAACAGCACATCCTGCGGCACACGGGCGGGAAGGGTGAGCACCAGGCTAGCCCCCAGCTAGACCATGCAGGGCGCTAGGCAGTGGTGTGATGGGGACCTCTCTGCTCCAGGAGTCGACCTGGTCCTGAACTCCTTGGCGGAGGAGAAGTTGCAGGCCAGTGTGAGGTGCTTGGCTCAGCATGGCCGTTTCCTGGAAATTGGCAAATTCGACCTTTCCAACAACCACCCTCTGGGTGAGGCTGGCAATATCCAGGGTGGGTGGCGGGCGGTGGGCGGTGCAGGTGGCAGGGCCCTGGAGTGAGCGTGTCCTGCCTACCAGGCATGGCTGTCTTCCTGAAGAATGTGACCTTCCATGGGATCCTGCTGGACGCACTCTTTGAGGAGGCCAATGAGGACTGGCGGGAGGTGGTAGCACTCCTGCAGGCAGGCATCCGAGGTGGTGTGGTGCAGCCCCTCAAGCGTACCGTGTTCCCCAAGGCCCAGGTGGAGGATGCTTTCCGCTACATGGCTCAGGGGAAGCACATCGGCAAAGTTGTCATCCAGGTAAGGTGGGGTCCTGGTGGGTGCCCAGCTGGAGGCCACCCCACTGTGCCTAAGCCACTGGGTTTTGGGTGTCACCCGCTATAGGTGCGGCCAGAGGAGCCAGAGACAGTTCTGGAGAGGGTGGAGCCCATCCTGACTGCTGCCATTGCCAAGACCTTCTGCCCAGCCCATAAGAGCTACATTATTGCTGGAGGCCTTGGTGGATTTGGCCTGGAGCTGGCCCAGTGGCTGGTTCTGCGTGGTGCCCAAAAGCTCATACTGACCTCCCGCTCAGGGATCCGGACAGGTGAGCAACCAGGGACCCAGGAACCAGCCAGGGCTGAGACTTGGTCCAGCCCCATGGGTTATTCCTGTCAGCCCACGTTTCTATAGTCTCACAGTACCTGGGCCCCATTCCCTTCCATCCTCCTCCATACCCCTCTTTGTCAGGGGCTCTGGAGCAGCCTGGCATGTGGGGAGGGTCCATGTATCCTGCCCCCTGGCCTGGCCACAGCCCATGTCCACAGGCTACCAGGCTAAGCAGGTCCGTGAATGGAGACGCCAGGGCGTGCAAGTGCTGGTGGCCACCAGTGATGCCAGCTCACCAGAAGGGGCCCAGGCCCTCATTGCTGAGGCCACGCAGCTTGGGCCTGTGGGAGGTGTCTTCAACCTGGCCATGGTAAGAGAAGAACCCCAGGGAAGAGCCCTGCTCCACAGCCTTGAACCTGGGGTGATCCCTACGTGGGTGCCCTGGAGCCACAGCAGGTACTAAGAACACCTCCCCCCAGGTCCTGAGAGATGCTATGCTGGAGAACCAGACCCCTGAGTTCTTCCAAGACGTCAACAAGCCCAAGTACAGTGGCACCCTGAATCTGGACAGGTGAGGAGCAGCCCACCTATAGCACAGCCCCTTCCCAGCCCTGCTTGTCCCCTACCCACCCTGGGCCTGAGCTAAGGATCTGATCACCCACGGCTGCTCCTCTGACCATCTTCTCTGCCTTTCCCGTGGGAAGTGGGACAGGCAGGGGTACTCCTGGGGTGCTGCTGGCAAGGGAGTGACACCTTCATCCACAGGGCAACCCGGGAGGCATGTCCTGAGCTGGACTACTTTGTGGTCTTCTCCTCGGTGAGCTGTGGACGTGGCAATGCTGGTCAGACCAACTATGGCTTCGCCAACTCCACCATGGAACGCATCTGCGAGAAGCGCCGGCAGGATGGCCTCCCAGGTGGGTCCCTGCCCCTGCCCAGCCCAGCCCGCCCCCAGCCTTCCCATCTGCCAAAGCCCTGGCCCACTGGCCCCCTCATCCCACAGGCCTGGCCGTGCAGTGGGGTGCAATCGGCGATGTGGGCGTTGTCCTGGAGGCAATGGGCACCAATGACACGATCATTGGTGGAACGCTGCCCCAGCGCATCGCATCCTGCCTGGAGGTGCTGGACCTGTTCCTCCATCAGCCCCATGCAGTCCTGAGCAGCTTTGTGCTGGCTGAGAAGAAAGCCACTGCCCACGGGGACCGGGACAGCCAACGTGACCTGGTGCAGGCTGTGGCACACATCCTGGGTGAGCTCACGTCTGAAACCCTGTCCCCTCACTGTCACCAGAGTCTCAGGACAGCAAAGGGTGCCTAGGGAGGTAGCAGACATAGCTCTGTGTCAGTTTCCCCAGCTGTACCAGGATGACCTTCCTCCCCAAGGGACACACACTGTGGTCTGCAGAGCTAGGCTGTGGCTGTACCCATGGCAGTACTGCACTGAGCCTCAGACCCACGGGAGCTGTCCCCATGCCCCTCCCAAATAGCCAACCAAGGCCTCCCTTCCCAGGCATCCGTGACTTGGCTGCTGTGAACATGGACAGCTCACTGGCAGACCTGGGCCTGGATTCACTCATGAGTGTGGAGGTGCGCCAGACCCTGGAGCGCGAGCACGACCTGGTGCTATCCATGCGTGAGGTGCGGCAGCTCACGCTACGGAAGCTGCAGGAGCTGTCCTCCAAGGTGGACACAGCCAGCGGTGCGTGCAGGTGGCTAGGTGGGGGTAGGGCACCGTGTCCCAGAAAGGGGCCTGAACAGGGGTGGGAGAGAGAACAACCATCCCCCCCAACCCCACCCGTGGCCCTGCAGCAGCCTGAGTCAAGTGTGTATCTGAGTGTGCACCAGAGCCTGCATGCCCAGGCCAGCCTGAAACTATCCTGTCCTCACAGAGTCAGCATCCCCTGTGCCCAGGGAGGGAAGCCCTGCCCGGCAGCAGGCCCAGCTGAACTTAAGCACCCTGCTGGTAAACCCTGAGGGCCCCACCTTGACACGGCTCAATGCAGTACAGAGCTTGGAGCGGCCCCTGTTCCTGGTGCACCCCATCGAGGGCTCCACTGCTGTGTTCCGCAGCCTGGCTGCCAAGCTCAGCATCCCTACCTATGGCCTACAGTGCACCCGAGGTACACCACCACCCAGGGCCTTGGCCTGGTGTGGGGGGTGGGTGTGGCTAGGCTGCCCATGGGATACCACCCCACCCGTGGCTGCCACCTACGTACTTGCTGAAAGCCTGGTGCTGCCGTTGCAGCTGCACCGCTGGACAGCATTCACAGCCTCGCCGCCTACTACATTGACTGCATCAGGCAGGTGCAGCCCGAGGGGCCCTACCGCATCGCCGGCTACTCCTACGGTGCCTGTGTGGCCTTTGAGATGTGCTCCCAGCTGCAGGCCCAGCAGGGCCCGGCACCCACCCACAACAGCCTCTTTTTGTTTGATGGCTCTCATACCTACGTACTGGCTTATACCCAGGTGAGCTGGCCGGGCTCCTCGCCAAGGCCCCTGGTGTGGGTGGCCATTGCCCTGGAGATCTGAGCCACCCTTGGCCCAGCTCAGTAGACCCTCCTCTCACAGAGCTACCGCGCCAAGCTGACCCCAGGCTGCGAGGCCGAGGCTGAGACAGAGGCCATGTGCTTCTTCGTACAGCAATTCACAGACGCCGAGCACAGCAGGGTCAGGGCAATGGGCTGGGGGCAGGGCAGAGGGCTGAGGGGTTGGGGAGCAGGCCCTCCTTTGTAACACTGGCCTGGTTTGGGACATTGGGGGCCCCCATCTGTGCCTTGTCAGAAACTACATCTGGTTTGGGGTGAGGTGGGGCCTGTGGAGAGGCATCCAGCCTGGTCACAGCCCATCCCCACAGGTGCTGGAGGCACTGCTGCCACTGAAGGGCCTGGAAGAGCGTGTGGCAGCTGCTGTGGACCTGATCACCAAGAGCCACCACGGCCTGGACCGCCAAGAGCTGAGCTTCGCGGCGCTGTCCTTTTACCACAAACTGCGCGCTGCAGAGCAGTACACACCCAAGGCCAAGTACCACGGCAACGTAACACTGCTGCGCGCCAAGACAGGTGGTGCCTACGGCGAGGACCTGGGCGCTGACTATAACCTGTCCCAGGTACACAGGGGCCAGCAGGGGTGGGGGTCAACAGGAGTGGACAACGTCCAGCTCACAGGCACTCCCTGCAGGTGTGTGACGGGAAGGTGTCCGTGCACGTTATTGAGGGAGACCACCGCACATTGCTGGAAGGCAGTGGCCTGGAGTCCATTGTGGGCATCATCCACGGCTCTCTGGCTGAGCCCCGCGTGAGCGTGCGGGAGGGCTAGGCCTGGGTCCCACCCGCCACCAGACCGCACCGCCACTGCTCACCTGGCCACACTGTGGGCCGGGAGGGTCCTGCCGGTGGGACCCTGCCCCTGCAGCTGTTAGAAGTAGGCTGTCCCGCGTGTCCTCCTCACCTGCCACCTCCCATGAGCACGCGGGGACCCAGGAGCTGTCGACTCGGAGATGCCCATCTATGAAGAGCCAGCATAGCCCGCAGGAGCCGGGCTGACCCTTCCATGCCAAGTGGGCTTTGCCACTTGGTTGGTTTGTTTTTGTTTTTCCATTTTAATTTGTATATTTATTGCGCCACTGGTAAAGCCCCCCCATGGTCTTATCCACTCTCTGTGAAGGTCCTGGGCTCAATGTCCATTTTGCATCCTCAGTGCACACAGGTGGCCACCCAGGTCTGCCAGTGGAGCCCCTCTCAGCCTGACCCTCACCTGCTGGGTTGGCCAGCAGTCCCCATGGAACCAGGCCAGGCCTGGGTGTCCCGGCTGCCCCATGAAGCAGGCCAGCCCTGCGGACCGCACCGGGCCCCTACTCCATGTATGTCTGTTATCTGTTTTTCAAGACAATCCAGACTGCTGCTCAGATACTGAAACTCACTGTAATTGTCAGTGCAAAGAGTTGTGTCTGGATCTTGTTTCATTTTTACACCAGTTTGGTAAAAGTGCTGCTCTCGATGCCTCGTCCTTCCTGAGCCTCCCCACAAATAAATCACATGTGATCTCTGGCTTCAAGGCATCTTTTTTTCCTGCTCCCTGACCAGCCGCTCAGATTCTCACACTGCTCCATGGGGTCATGGAGACAGGACGCCCCTGCCCTCTGGGATCCCACAGCATAATACTACATGCTGCAGAGTGCACGTCCACAGGGTAGGGCCAGAAGGGGTCAGCACGGCATGTGCAGCAAGAGCGGAGCCGGGCAGGCAGGGGCAAGAGCTTCCTGGCACCTTGTCATTGGCCCCCACAGCTGTAGGGCTGACAGGTGGGACGGTCACGGGCCAGGCCAGGGCCCCGAGCTGAGCCGAGCTGGCACTGCGATGCTGGCAGGACATTCTTCCTTTCTAGTCAAGTGAGGCAGTAGGAGTGGAGTGAAAACGAAGGAATCTGACTGGTTGTGAAAACCACTTTTTGGCAGGATTTCTTTCTTTTTTTTTTTTTGGTATATGGGGCCAGCGCCCTACTCCTTTGAGCCACAGGCGCCGCCCGAGAATTCCCATCTTTTCCCAATCTCCATCTTTATTTGAGATTAGCTGATCACAGATGTTAACCCCACCTATAAAACAGCTTCACACAGCACCAACATGATAAAATCACTGGCCAAGCTGACGCAGAGTCCAGGGAGATAAAGGTGGCTCCAGATCCCAGGACCAAGAGCGCCAGCAGGTACCTGTAGGGAGGCAGCTGAGTGGGGAGAGTGCCCAGAAAGCTCTGAGGCAACAGCACCAGGTACTCACACAAGGCTGGACACTTCTGTCTGCACCAGGCCCTGGAGAGCATCATAGTTCACAGGGCACTGGGTGGAGCACTCAAAAGGGTCTTGTCTCAGTGGTAAGGAATAATTAGCCCAAGACTAATTAGCTAAGTAGTTACTATTTAGCTCTGGTCTCAACTGGAAAAAATATTAAAAACAAGACCCCAGAGGACTAATTCATTTCCAGGTAAATTATTCAGTCCCAAAACAAAGCTGAAGAATATTTAGCCTCAACAGCTAGGGTGCCAGCCACATACACCAGAGCTAGCAGGTTCGAATCCAGCCTGGGCCTGCCAAAAACCAATGACAACTAGAGTGATGCCTGTGGCTCAGTGAGTAAGTAGGGCACTAGCCCCATATACCAAAAGTGTTGGGTTCAAACCCTGCCCTGGCCAAAAATTGGGAGGAAAAAAAAAAGCAATGACAACTAAAACCAAAAAAAGCTGGTCACTGTGGTGAGCGCCTGTAGTCCCAGCTATTTGGGAGGCTGAGGCAAGAGAATCGCTTAAGCCCAAGAGGTTTTTTTTTTTTTGAGACAGAGCCTCAAGCTGTCCCCCTAGGTAGAGTGCTGTGGCATCACAGCTCACAGCAACCTCCAACTCCTGGGCTCAAGCGAGTCTCCTGCCTCTGCCTCCCAAGTAGCTGGGACCACAGGCGCCCGCCACAACGCCTGGCTATTTTTTGGTTGCAGCCATCATTGTTGTTTGGCAGGTCCGGGCTGGGGATTCAAACCCACCACCTTAGGTGTACGTGGCTGGCGCCTTAGCCGGTTGAGCCACAGGCACCGAGCCAAGCCCAAGAGTTTGAGGTTGCTGTGAACTGTGATGCCATGGTACTCTACTGAGGGCAACATAGTGAAACTGTCTAAAAAAAAAAACAAGCAAAAAAACCCTGAAGAATATTTATTTGTTTATTTTTAGATAGAGTCTCATTTTGTCGCCCTTGCTAGAGTGCTTTGGTGTCACAGTTCATAGCAACCTCAAACTCCTGGGATTGCCTTGTCATAGCCTCCCAAGTAGCTGGGACTACAGGCACACACCACAATGCCCAGGTATTTTGTTGTTGTTGCAGTTGTCATTGTTGTTTTAGCTGGCCCAGGCCAGGTTCAAACCTACCAACCTGGGTGTATATGTGTCTGGCACCCACCCAGCTATTTTTAGAGACAGGGTCTCACTCTGGCTCAGACTGGTCTTAAACCTGTGAGCTCAGGCAGTTCATCCACCTCAGCCTCCCAAGTACTAGGATTACAGGCATGAGCGACTGCACCCAGCCTTTGAAGGATATTTAGGTAAAATTCACAATTCCTGGCAACTGAGGAAAAGTTAGGCTTACAATGACGCAGGAGAACATGTCCTGTAAGGAAGAGAAATATCAGTGAGAAGTGGCCCATACCTGACACAGATGTTAGAATTAGCAGCTGGCAGCACCCATAGCTCAGTGGTTATGGCGCCAGCCACATACACCCAGGCTGGCAGGTTTGAACCTGGCCTGGGCCAGCTAACCAACAATGACAACTGCAACCAAAAAAAAGGCCAGGCGTTGTGGCGGGAGCCTGTAGTCCCAGCTACTTGGGAGGCTGAGACAGGAGAATCGCTTAAGCCCAAGAGTTAGAGGGTGCTGTGAACTGTGACTCCACAGCACTCTACCAAGGGTGACAAAGTAAAACTTTGTCTCTAAAAAAAAAAAGGAATATAAATAAAACTTCTAGAGGTAAAACTGAAATGAAAAATTTATTGTATGACGTTAATGTCAGACGTCACAGAGAAAAAAGTGGCTGCTTTGAAATCGTCTTTGAAGGCACAGCAATAGAAGTAATCCAGATTGAACACACAGAGAAAACTATTTTACTTCATTTTATTTTTTTTTATTTTTGGAGACGAAATCTCACTTTGACTCTACTTTGGCAGAGTCCTGTGGGGTCATAGCTCACATCAACCTCAAACTCTTGGGGTCAAGCTATTCTCTTACCTCACCTTCCTGAGTAGCTGAGACTATAGGTGCCCAACTCAACACCCAGCTATTTTTTAGAGATGAGGTCTCTATCTGGCTCAGGCTGATCTCAAACTCAAGAGCTCAGGCAATCCACCCACCTTGGCCTCCCAGAGTGCTGAGATCACAGGCTTGAGCCACCACACTCTGCCTGAAAAAACAATTTTAACAATGATAGTGGCTGGGCGGTGCCTGTGGTTCAGTGGGTAGGCCGCTGGCCCCATATACCGAGGGTGGCAGGTTTGAACCTGGCCCTGGCCAAACTGCAACAAAAAATAACTGGGTGTTGTGGCAGGCACCTGTAGTCTGAGCCACTCAGAAGGCTGAGGCAAAAGAATTGCCTAAGCCCGGGAACTGGAGGCTGCTGTGAGCTGTAACACCAACAGCATTCTACCAAGGGTGACAAAGTGAAACTGTCTCAAAAAAAAAAAAAAAAAGATACTGGCAGTCAATAGAGGTAAACAGCTTCAAGTGGGCTGATAACGTATAACTGGAGTCCCCGGAGGAAAGACAAAGGGAAGAGCCCAGAGAAAAATATTTTAAGAAATAATAGTCATAAAATTTCCAACCTTATTGCAGACTATGAACTTATAAATCCAAGATATTCAATGAACTCTAGGGACAAAAAAATATAAAATAACACCAAGGTAGCCAGGTGCAGTGGCTCACGCCTATAATCCTAGCACTCTGGGAGGCTGAGGCAGGTGGATTGCTTGAGCTCACAAGTTTGAGACCAGCCTGAGCAAAAGCAAGACTCAGGCTCTTCTAAAAATAGGAAAACTGAAGCAAGAGGTTCTCTTGAGCTCAAGAGTTGGAGGTTGCTGTGAGCTATGATGCCACAGCACTATACCCAGGACAACAGCTTGAGACTCTTGTCTCAAAAAAAAAAAAAAAAGAGGCCGGGCGTGGTGGCTCGAGCCTGTTGTCCCAGCGCTGTGGGAGGCCGAGGCGGGTGGATTACCTGTGCTCAGAGGTTTGAGACCAGCTGAAGACCTGCCTGAGGCAGAGCCAGAGTGAGACCCCGTCTCTACAAGACAGATGGACTTTGTGATCCTAGCTACATGGGAGGCAAGAAAACACTATAGGAGGAAGAAGTAAAAAAAAAAAAAA